GAATGGTGAGACAATGTTTTACGGAGATTCCAAGGATGTTTGTTGTGTGACTTTTCCTGGGGCAGCATGAACAGATATTTACTTTCCAAATATGACACCAATGATCAGCCAAAAATATGATTCCATCAAAGTTCACTTTGGTGAAACAATGAGGTAATTGGGGCTACTTATGCCAGTATGGACCAGGGGACAACCCACCTAAGCATTGGTGATGACCATGAAATCTTCAACCTTGGAGCTCAGAAAGTTTCCTCTAGGCAGCTCTACTGATCTGAGTGTCTTATCCCCCAGCAGTTTATGCTTCCATAATTTTGGGGAGGATGTTTGTGAATCTTGTTAGTTTCAGGAACTTTCTGAGACTTATGAATTTTTACTTCCTCTTTCTTCTCCCTCCTGGAGGGATTATTTAAAGTTGGAGAAAGTTGCTGCATGACACAATTGCATCATGAGATCGCTGCAGCTGCGGTTATCCCCCAGAAGATCTGCACAAGATTAGACTAGTCCCCATTCAATATGGGAAGGAAAAGGGCTCCTAAATCCTCACACCTTCCTGTGATCTATTGGCAGCTAATGGTTGCATATTTGTGTGTGTCATTTTCATCAATGATAATTTGCCCATGATCCAGTAAGTAGCCTCCTACCATGCTTACAAAATTACCTCTAACTAAACTCAGTAGGTCACAAACATTTTTTTTTTTTAAGACATGAAACTAGGAAGGGAACAGAAGGGTTTGGCCAGAAGGGTTTCAGCAGGAAAGGGAACAGTGAAAATAACAAAAATTATACATGCATGAATATATGTATGTATCTATGAAATTAACAAATAATAAAATGTACTACACAAACACAGATGCAAAAATTCATAACAAAATTCTAGTAAACCAAATTAAAAAAATAATGAAAGATCCCATGTGTTATGATCATGTGGAATTTATCCTTGGAATGTAAAAATGCTGTAACATAAACAAATCAACAAATGGATACACTACATAAATGAGAGATCCTAAGAGTGAGTTAGCATCTTTTGCAGGCTGGCAGTGAGGGAAAAGGAGATCTAGGCTGACATGGTTTTGCCACAGCATGTCCTAAGGTGGTGGAGTCAGAATCCAATGATAGACAGAGAGACTGGAATAGAAAGCATTATCTTGGTCTTCGGGGGTCTAAGAAAGGTCAAAGCAAGTCTATGAATTATTTCTAAATGGCAGATTTTTGACTCATCCAGCCGCTGTTAAAAGCTTCAGAAGCTGGCCACTGAGCCAGGCAAGCCACTAAATGGTTTGGTTCAGGCAGCTACTGTGGTGTTTTGTAACCATGGTCAGGAACTGTATGCAGCAGAACAAGGATATAGAGAAGGAAGGAAGGATGCAATGGCAAACATCATGAAGAACTTTAGGCTGCCATCAAGGCCTGTGTGAGGGAACACAGTCTAACCCAGGGTCCTGCTTTCTCTGTGAGTGGGAAGGCCATTTCCAAAGGTAGTATGTAGGCCTTCAGAGATGTAGGCCACCCTGGGCCTTTGCCCCACTTAGAAAGGCAATTGCTAGAAGGATCAATTCCCCAAGAATCTGTTGAGGCAGAGGTCTCAGGACCTCGGCTTCTGCCTCAAAAGCAGATCTTGAGGGGCCCTGAACAATAATGTCTTCAGGGGAGTGACAGATCAGCTTCCTCCTCAATACGGGTGCTTGATTCTCACCTCCTCTTCTCCCCTGGCCCTAAATCCCAACAAATGACTATCATGTGGGAATATCCGACTAAACCGTTAAAAGATATTTTATTCAACTGTTGCCTGCTCCTGGGAGAGATCTCCATTTCTGTCACTCCTTCCTAATAGACCCTGAGACCCCAGATCTTCCTCTAGAAGTCTAGAACAAAGACTAAACTCCTCCTTTCCTCAGTAGAGTATTGTTTGCCATTGGTAGAAGCCAAAATTAGCCCTACAGTGTCTTTGCCACTGTTCTATTACTGTGAAGAGACACCATGACCAGGCTAAAGAAAGCATTTAATTGGGTCTTGTGTACAGCTTCAGAGGTTTGGTCCACTATCATCATGGTGGGGTTCATGGTGAGAGAACAGAGGAAGAGAATTGGGTTGGCCACATCTCCTAATTTCTATTCTTATCAAAAGAGTTTCACTCTCTTGTGACTAAGCATTCAAATATATGAGCCCATGGGGCACAATTCTTATTCAAACCACTGCACACAGTCACCTGCACCATTCTGCCACAGGGATTTTGAGAGAGCCCATACTTGTTTGCAGCAGCTTGCTCCTGGGGCCGAATAGATTGGACACAACCTCAAACTGTGCTGCTCTGATATGGATTGCCTTGTCTTCTGTGGAAACTCTGAGGGAGTAATATTCCAGGGTACAGAGTCTTTTTGGAATCTCTTGGGAAAGAAGGAGGTAAAGTATTTCAAATTAAGACCAAACTCTATAAACCCAATGCCATGTGTTTGGATCTAACCTTAAAAAAAGGCACCAGGGCCTTGTGACCTGAATGGCTCCAATGTATTTTAAACTTCCTTCTCCATTAGATCTTGAAACAGCTAAGAGCCTTCCTGGGAGTTACTGGATTGTAGAATTTGGGTTCCTAGATATGCTGAACTGGTTAGATCTCTTTATAAGTCCTGAGAAGAAACTCAAACTTAGAGACATTCCTTAGGGATATGGACCCTTGAATCCCAATGTGCTTTTCAAAAGAAAAGGGAACCAGATTCCTGCTTTGGGACTATGCATTCAATTCCAGTTTGATCTGTATGTGACAGAAAGGGGGTGGTTTTGAGTGTGATTGCATAACCTGTATCAACTGCTCAGCTAATGGGCTACCTAAGTAAGATTTAAACCAGGTAGCAGAGGGGCAGCTTACTTATTGCTGGGCAGTTGCAGCCATGGGGCTTTTGACTCCAGAAGTTCAATATTTACCCTGGGGTATTTAATGATTTATACCCCACATGCTATTGAGGTATTTTCAACTCTAAGGAGAATCTGTGATATCAAATTCCTTTGCTAAATACCAAGCCCTTGTGTTGGAAGGTCCTGAAGTGATGTGTAAGGCTTGTCAAAATTTAAATTCTTCCACATGTTTTCCAGAAGGATATGGGAAACCCCTCCATTCCTGTGAAGAGGTCCTCCTAGTAGATAGCTGCCCATCTTGACTGAAATACTCAGCCTCCAAAGAATCCCAATTTAATATTGTACACTGAGGAGAGCTCTTTCTTCAAGGATGGAATGAGATATTTAGTTACACTGTGGTTATGAGTTTAGGTGTCCTTACCTTGAGGACCAGAATTCTAGTGCCCAGTTTACTCTGCTCTTTGCTTTCACTAGAGCCTCTGAGTGATTCCAGTAAAAGAAAGGGAATGTCTATACAGATCCTACATATGCCTTCCTAATTCTACATGTCCATGCAGCTATCTGGAGGGAAAGAGGTCTTTTAAATACCACTGGACTTCCCCACCCCTATTAGACATTCACAGAAAAGTTCTCAAACTTTTATATGCTGTCGTTCTCATCCAAGTTTCTGTAATTCTTTGCTCAGGATACAAAAATGGGAAGATCTGTGGCCAGGGGAAATCAAGCAGCTGCCCCCAGGTATGAAGGGGCAGCCCTGGATAACAAATAACACGGGAATGCCCTGTTCTTTGGGAGAATTCCCACGACCTCCTGAGCCATCCTTGAGCTCAAAGAAAGAATGTCTGCTAGACTAGTGCCAGAGGCAGCTTTCTCCCAGTGCAGTTGTTACCTGAATCCTTCAGTGGCGGAGGGTATTAAAATGTGAGAGGAGCTGATGTCCCTAGACCATACATTTAAAACTGTTAAGATGAGTAGAGCATGGCGGCGCACGCCTGAAGAAGGAGAATCTCAAATTCCAGACTGAAGAAGGAGAATCTCAAATTCCAGACTGAAGAAGGAGAATCTCAAATTCCAGGCATATTTGGTCTACGTAGCAAGGCCCGGTCTCAAAAAAAAGTTAAAATGATTAAAAAATTAAAATAATCAGTTTTAGGTTATATAGATTTATTACTACGTAAAAGGAAAAATGCATCTATTATGATATAAACACATGACAGAATATTCCATGGTCTTTTGAAATAGTATTATAGATACACACATATCTGGACATGTTTCAGCTACTTGAGTAGCTATACTTTTGATTATCTATTCATATGCAAGTGTTTGTGCACAAGTAGAAACCATCTGGATACAGGATATGTTTTTACAGTGGTCGCCATTTGTGGTATCTCATAGCAAAGACTTTCCTTTTCACTTTATTTCTAAATTGTTTTAATATGTAATTGTTTTAAAATTAAAACAGACTTTGAGCCAAATGATTAGATTCAAAAAGTTTGACAATTCAAAGAGAAGCACTGTATTTAAATATATTCATAAAGTTTAGTCTAAATGATGTACAAAGTTCAAAACTTAGAACTTAGTGAAACTTTCAATGACTATTATAAAATCATGAGAGGATTTAGACTAGCTTATATACCCCAAATATGTCGCTAAAGTTAGGTGTAGTCACAGTAAATTTTTTCCAACTGTGCTTTAATTCTAAATTGATGCCATAACTCAGAGTCCATTGACTCAGGTGTTTAAGTGTAGACAGGACATGTGCATAGGGAAGCACAGCTCTCTCTCCACAACAGACCTGCACAGTCATTGATGCTGGCTTTGTGAACTCTAAGTCCCTCTGCTCCAAGATCCCAGTGGCTTTCACCACACCACTTTCCTCTTGTAAATAAAGAGTAGCGTGCGATCTGTCATGCCCCAGATGGGCAACAAGCAGATGCCACCAGCAGATCCTTCCAGCTTCCGGGTCTAAGCCAGTTTTCCCGGGTTGTTTCTTCAGGACTTGTACCAACTTCACACTGGTGAAGGAACCATCTCACGAAAGGAAGCCTGTGGGGAAAGTGTGCTGGCAAGTTATCCTTCCTCAGTATCCTCCAAGTGCACACCAGGCCTTTGGCTTTCTCACAGCCTGCATAGATGCTGTTCACACAGTTTTATATAGTGTCTTCATAGTCCATATCTGTAATGTCTTCCTTCCTTGGCTTAGAATAGATTTCAGAGAAGACCTGGAAGGACCAAAGAAGAGAAAACAAAGAACAAGTCTTCTGCTGGGCCTCTTCCCAGTCAGCCTGGATGCATTTTGTCATATGCAGCTACAACACTTTAAAAGGAGCGTCTTGGAAGCCAGAGGCCTTCTGTCAGTGTGGTGAGAGGAGCCTGTCACTCCTGAAGCTTCTAGAAGTTCTCCCGCTGAACAATCTTATGAGCGGTCATTTCTCAAAGACATTAGAATGAATAGACTAAACTGAGAATACTCTCAGTTTTCCAAGGAGTTGGGCTCTGCCCCCAGACTACCTTTAGACAGGACGAAACTGCGAAAGTACCTGTGATACTTGTTGGAACAAAGTCAAAATACCTGCAGTTCAGAAAGTACTTATGTAGCACCATGGATGGATTTTAGAATTTTTTAAAATTGTGCATGTATGTGTTGTCTGTGTGTGGGTATGTGCCCATGGGGAACAGAGAACTGCATCAAATTCCCTGAGTGTGGAGAGGCAGGTGGTTGTAAGCCGCCCAATGTGGGTGCTGGGAACTGAATCCTGGTCCTCTGTAAGAGCAGTGAGGCCATCTCTCCAGCCCCCATCATGAATATCTTCAATTATCCATTATAATTATGTAATAATTAAGAATTTTTATAAAATTAAGAATTATAAATTATAATTTAATTTATAAATTAAGAATTTTTCATAATACAAATATAAATTAAGAATTTTTCATAATACAAATCATTTTTGTGCTGTTGTTAGAATGGTGTCATGTATGTGTCACAAGGCAGCATTAGTTTTAGTTAGTATTATTCAGTATTAACTTAGTTCACTCCATATTGCTAGCTATATACACTAGTCGATGGCTGTACAGTTCAACAGTATTTCAGGATAGAATTTTTCAAATAAATAGAACTTTTAAAATAAGTATAAACCAAGACTGAGCAATACATCAGCACATTGCTCAAGGAAATATACCCATAATCCTCCAAAACTCCCTCAAGTAGCGATTCTTCATTGCTATAACTAAATGCTTTTTATCTCTACTGTGTTGGTAAATAAGGGACCCTGGTATTTATTTTCCTCCTCCTAAGCAGCAATACTGTGTAAAAATAGTACAATAGTCTCCAGAGGGAACAGAGAAAGCACAGAGAGAACAGTAAAGACCCTGCTTACCTCACTTGCCCCATGTGTCTTCATGTGCTGGGCTGGGGAGGAATGAACAAGGACTATGAGGTTCCCCTTGTATTTAGGCTTTTACAACCTCCCCTTAGTAAAACTTTCTTTTTCTCCAGCCTGTTTTCCATGGACTGAGCTCCAGTGTTATTTCCTGTCTTCCTTTTTATCGCATGAACGATTCTTAGTGTCCACAGAAGAACAGGAGCCTGGGTGGGTGGGTATGTAGGCCCTTCTGGCACTAGAGACACTTGATACCTCTCTCCTTTTCCCGGCCTACCGTACATAGGATGGGACAAGAATGGCAGCCATGGTGAAGCGCTGCAGGGGCCGTGGAGGCTCACTTGGCAGAAGCTGACATCTTTGGCTGCTATTAAAAATGGGCCATGTGAAACATGCAGTAAGGACAGCAACGGGCTCTATGTGACAGCTTCAAGACAAAGGTCAGTGACCCCTACGGTCAGCTCTAAGGACACACACCACCACATTGCCAAGCAGAGCCACTGACTGTCTTCTTGGTTCTGGGACAGACAAAAGTTCGGGAAAAAGTCATCCCATGCCATGTCTCACCTGCTGCTGGTTCTAGTTCCTGTTGGATATGGTACACCAGTGAGTAAATTTCATCACTTCGTACAACATTCACTGAAATGAGAAGGGAGACACGTGGAGGCAGCCCTTTCTTCCTGTTCTGTCACTTACTCCACACCCACCTCCTATCAGAACTCAAAGGCAGGCGAATCATCTGTTTGTAGAAGGATTAGGAGGCAGCAGAATCGGCTTTGGCAAGCAGCCTGTGCCGTGTTGCCTCAGGTCCTTGGGAAGCCTCACCGTTCTCATACACAGACTGTATCTGCTCTGGGCCAGGTGAGTTGAGGTAGCTGGATTCTTGGAGCACAGGCATAGGAGGGCTCCTGTAAGCACAAAACACATGGCAGCCCAGATGCTCTTGGGTGTTACAGTCTAAGATTGTAAACTGTGAAGGCAAAGGTTCTGTACAGGATACTAATTCACGGAAAAATTAGCAGCTGGAAGGGACACTGTGTGGTATAAGCTAAAGCCTCATTCATGGGCAGAATGGGGCTCCGTGTGCTGCCCCAGTGCATATGTTCCCTGGCTCAGGTTTACTATGACATCGCCCACACACGGAGCTGTTACCATCTAGGGATCTTGATTGGGTTCATTTTCCCTGCCAGTTAAAGAATTCAAAGGCAGAACAAAACCTTGAGTGAAACAGGTGACAGCAGAGAAACTGTGAGCACTGCAGACGGCGGAAGACAGAGTTCACAGAGGAAGAAAGACTTTACTAGGGGTGAGAAGACACACATACAGCAGACACAGAGAAACTGAGCACTGCAGACGGCGGAAGACAGAGTTCACAGAGGAAGAAAGACTTTTACTAGGGGTGAGAAAGTACACACATACAGCAGAGACAGAGAAAGACCCTCAGCAAAGCCGAGGGGTGGCTTGAAAATTTGAAGTACAGCTTCTCTTTGAGGGCTGATTATTATTATTTTTTTTTTTTGTAAGTCATTGAAGAATCATCCTCCCCTTATCTGGGTTGGTTGGTTGAAGAAAGACTGGCTGTCTGATTGGACGACAGCTGTTGTGTAAGTGTGTCCTGATAAAACCTTGAACTTGAGTCAGTATATCAGCAGGAGCTACTGGCAGGGGAGAAATCCCACAAGGTCTTTGTTTGCAGTTGCAAGGCTTTTTTGTCCCCAGGTCAAGAGGGTGAGGAAGAAGCCAGTGTCTTGGAAGTTCAACCTTTTTATTACCAAGTCATGGTCCCTCTCCTTTTCTGTCTGCTTATCAGGGAGTCTAACTGCTAGTCCATTGTTACAGAGCAGGGCACTAAGGAAAAAAAATAGTGATTCATCTCAGTGAAAATAGACACTTGGCCAGAACAAGCAACTTGAGGAAGGAACAAAAGAAAACGGTCATTCACATGCACACTGGAGATGTGGAAAGTGTTTGTTGTTGGTGTGGAAATACACGAGCTAAGTCTGCAGCTGGCAAGCATTTTAGAAATGTTTTCCTCCTCTCAGCTTCTAGAAAATGTCACCCACAATATTTCCAGTGTGTTTATTGCTCTCTGTCTCGCGTTTCAGAGATATGCAGCGTATATACCTTACCTGTCCTAAACTGCTTTCGAGTCTCAGGGTCTTTCCATTTAGTCAAACCTCTGCTGTAAGCAAGCTGACTGCATGAATAAACCAGTGGCAGGGCCAAAAGAAATCAAAAGAAGGGAACTGCAGAGGCATTGGAAGGAAGCAATAGAGAAAATGGGGAAATAATTGAAAGTAATTAGTGAAAGAGAAATAGCAAATTAATGCTAAAAGTTGCCAATGGGGGAACTCAAGAGTGAGTTTTAGTTGCAGTTCAACAGGAAAACAGCCCATGAGAGAGGACACCATGCAAGTTTCCTAGGGAGGGAAGCAACCAACAGTCCTATTCAGCTATGATACCTATGAACCACAACAACCAGTAAGACATGATGATCTAGGGCCCAGAAGTGGTTAGCAGTACTCAGGGCAGTGAAGTCATCAATCTTAGAGCAGCACATGCAACCACCCCTGTATTAAATCAGCATAATTCCTAACTGTGTTTGAAATATTTGTCCTTATACTTGCAAATAAGTTAATCCCTCAACAAAGAACCTTCTCTTTGCAAACAGAGTCCACTACAGAAAACCACAAACAATCAAAACATAGAGCTGTGGAGTTTATTCCCAATGGACACATCTATAAAACACTCCTGCACCAAAGGCTCAGGGGTGTTGTAGACGTGGGGTGGGAAGTTTGTGAGAGCCAAGAGGGTCAGAAAGTTTGCTGTGAGAGTGTCTTCCAGGAATGTTAGAAGCTACACCCATAAAGTCTCACTAACATGTCTGTCTAAACAAACAGACAAAAATAGACACACTGAAGTGGACAGGGAAAGACTGTACATGAGGAACTACAGAGGCAGCTAAGCAATGCTAACAGTGGAAGATACACTCTTCCCTGGGGAGTAGCATACCAACTGGCTATCTAATACCAAATGGTTGGCCCTGGAAACAAGCATACAGGCAATATACAGACTGAACATGTTGTATTTAGGTTTAAAAATACATACATATGTACATGTACATATATGTATATACATGCACATATATGTATATAACAACAATCAAAAGAAAAAGGATACCATGAGTTTGAAAAAGAGCAGGGAGGAGTATATGGGAGTGTTTGGAGGAAGGAAAGAGAAGGGGGAAATGATGTAATTATGCTATAATCTTAAAAAAATAAAAGAATTAACTTTTTAAAAGTAAGTTTTCAGCATCATGAGCACATAGAGAAAGCAGGGCCCTCACCTGAGTGGATCATCTGACTGTCTTCCTGTAAGGGAGAAAAACGAGAGCATGTATCAGTGGGGCCCAGTGGGATGGCACTGTGGCCCCAGAGGACACCTGGCAGACACTTATAGAGTCTTTATGTCACAACTAAGGCCATTAAGGTCCAGAAGAGTTAAGTAAACTTCCCAAAGCTGGAAGTCAACAAGTTCCCAAAGCCACTAAGTAACAGGAGTTGGAACTTGCCACCTGTTACATGCTTTGCTTTGGATTTTGCAACAACCCTGGTGACTCTTATCCTGCCCAAAGTCCCAGAGTCAGGTGCTGCCATGGCCAAATCATAGCTGGGAAAAGGTGTCCAAAGATGTTGGAAAAGCTTGAAATTCAAGTGAGATTTGCATTGCCTCACATTGTCCTCTATTGGCCATCTTCAACTTGCTCAGTGAAGAGTAGAAGACCAAAGTGAGGCGTAGATATCTGTGAAATTGTGGGTAGTGATAAACTTGGGAGGTAAATAACCTAAAATTCAGAATTGAAAGCAATTGTTGGCTATGTTACTAGGTGAGACTTTCAGGAGAAAAAGAACATTTCACCCAAAAGGTGAGAAAGATCCAGGGATGACCAGAACCCCTAGGGATGTGACTTGTGTTTCAGGGAGGAAGAGAAACTAGCGACAGCATTGTTGGGTAAGAGACGGCACTGACGTCAGAACCAAGTGCTCCTTCTCTCTAGTTTAAAAAGTTGTTACATTTTATATAAAATTTAAATCACAGAAGAGCAAAGTATCAGCTGGTGAAATTAAAGAACTTTCTTAAAAGTGGTGCTTAAGCCAGTTTTGAAAGTTTTCAAGAAGACAGAGGCAAGGTAGCTAGGGCACGCGCTTACTACAGTATGCGGGCCACAAGTGCCATCTGTTTCAGGAAACTAAAGGCTACAGTAGCAAAATATGAATATATTAAGTTACTAACCTATTTTTCTCTTGATCCAGTAGCAAAATATTAGGGCCATGGTGATGAGGCCAAGACAGCCAAGCAGCCACGCAGTGATTCCTGAGGTGAGATTGCTTCCAGACTCAATGGGCACTGAGGAGAGATGGTAAGGTTTGGAAAGCAGACATCTTGTATATGGATTACATTCAAGGTCTGATCCTCATGGGAGGAAGGTGTCTTTGTTTATCTAGAAAACCCCTGCTTCCCACACTGATGAAAGAAGATAGGCACTCCAACTTTATCCTCCACACCTCTCCTGTTCATTTTCCATGACAGCGTCATGCACAGAAGCCCTCTCATGTATATCACTATGACAGCATTGCATATTGAAGCCATGCCCCTCTTGTGTTCCCCACTCATGACAACATCATGTACAGAAGCCCTGCCCCTTTCGTGTTCATCAGCTGTGACAGCATTGTTTACAGAAGTCCCGCCCCTCTCACATACATCACCCATGACAGCATCACATACAGAAGCCCTGCCCCAGACAACAGACCCCTGGAAACACTGAAGCTCTCCTAGCATGCTGGGAAGAGACACTGACCTTAAGATTCCCAAAACCTAACCAGTACCTGGTATGTTGAGAGTCACCACCTCACTGCGTTGGGCACCCTGGCCATTGTTGGCCTCACAGTAGTAGTTTCCAGAATTTTCTGCAGTCAGGGACAAGTTGAAGGATGCTCCTCCTCCAGAGGGAGCTGAGCTGTTCCCCAGAATGACATTCTCGTGATAGAACTGGTAGAAGATTGGGGGAGAGCCTCTCAGGGCTTCACAGTGAAGCTCCACCAGGTCTCCCAGGACAGCCTGGATTCCAGAGTCCCCAGAGGTAAGGACAGGACGAGACACTGGAACTGATTAACAATGGACAGTTAGAGAAAGGCGCCTTGATGATACGACAGACCCATAATTTCTGCCTATTCTCTAGAGGCTCAACCCCACTAAAGTTGCTAAAGGCCACTCAGGGGAATGAGACTTGCTGGTTGAGATGAGGTAGCTATGTCACATACCTCGGACAGTGATGCTCACCAGCTCGCTGAGAACAGGGCCGTAGCCATTGTCAGCTGCACAGTAATACTGCTCAGCATCTCTTCTCTTCACTTCAGTGATCTCAAACTCTGCTGACAGTGAATGCTGTGTCTTTGTTTCCAGGTTTGAACCCAGTGCCCCTCTGTACCAGAGATACGTTATGTTTCCAGTGGCGTTAACAACTGAGCAGATGAGGACCAGTTTGTTTCCCTCCATCACCCATCCCCCAGTGGGCCGTGTCTCCAAGCTCACATCAGAGACAGGGATTCCTGTGGGAACACAAGATAATGAAGAGGACCCTGTGTAGGGGGCTTTTCTGAGAGGAGTAGGTGCGGTGGTCCTGAAAGCAAAGGCTGCTGGCAAAGTCAATGATTTATTTTAATAGCTTACATTGGGGCTGGTGTTCTGCTTACTTAGAATCATCTTAGATTAGGCTGATAGTCACAGGGTAAGAAAAAGCACTCTACTGTAGAGAATGTGATGTCATCTCCCACCCTAGGATAACATAATTTCTACTACCCTTTAGTGATTTCAAGTTCAAGTTATAAACCAAACTGCTGAGCTGTGAAGTCTTTCAAACCCTTATTTGCTGCGTATCAATCAAATAACTTAACTTCTCTTATCCAATTTCCATTTGTAAGTGTGTGACTGTCATTACCCCCTGCAGCACTAGAGGTCAGTTACACCACAAGTACAAAGTACTAGAGTAGGTTCTGCTTTGTGTGAACTGTTCAAGGTTTTTTATATTTTGTTTCTATCAGTGTTGAAGCTTTAGCAAGTTTGAGACTACTCAACCTTCTGTAGGTACTGGACATTTATTTTTGATGATCAACACTGACAAGGAATCACATGATGCAGGATAATAAAACATGATTTTTCTATTGTAGTGTCTCCCATAAACCCTTTTCCAATAACCTATTCTACACACTTCTACCAGAAACCTTTTCTTCCTACTTCACCAGGGCAGCTAGTAGTTCTTCCCAATGTCTACCTTCTCAGGAGCATGTAAAACAACCTGTTCTGCTATCTTTTACCCAGCTCCGACTCTGGAAGAGCAAGCTCAGATACTCACTCTGCACGGGTATCTTGATTGGCAGGCTCCACTTTCCTCTTTTCTTGTAAATTGTTTCTTCTGCCATGCACTGGTAAACCTTTGGGTTTTTCCTCCATATGGCAGGGAACTGAAACTTTGGGGAGCTGCTGCAGCCTGACCCGAGTAACTTGCCATCACTAAAGAAGCAGAAGCGGAACTGGCTATCTGGCCTCTGTGCAAGGAGCTGGATCTTGCAGGTCAGGGTCATGGAATAACCCTCTATAGGAGGGGAAGGACTGACTTCTAGCACAGGGTATGGAAACATCACTAGAGAGAAGATATACACATAAACTCCAGAGTAATATTCATGATTAGGCATCTTTTGTGTTCTCAGTCAGAAGAACATACAACATCTCCCATCACCTCCCTCATAGCCATGAGTTTCTCTTTGCTGTGAACCTGTCCTGCTCCTTCTGGTACATCCTAAGCCTGTGTGATGACATCAGCTTCCAGACCATGGCTTAGATCTCATTAACTTATTTTTTAAGTTTCTGGCATAACTTTTAAAGTTATGCCAGAGCTGGTATATTAAAGACAACTGGATATGGTGAAGCTTGAAGTTCTAGAAAACTGTCTCTGACCCTCCTTTCTCCTTTCCCTGTCTTTCCTCCCTCCCCTCTTTCCTTCCCGTCTTTCTCCTCCTCCTCCTGTTGTTCTCCCCCTTCTTCTCCTCCTCCTCCTCTTTCTCCTCTTCTTCCTGCTTCTCTTCCTCCTCCTCCTCCTTCTCCATCTTCTCTTTCTCTTCTATTTTGATAGTACTGGGAATCAAAGCAGCATAACATTATATAGACTGGGCAAGAGTTCTACCATTGAGTTAAAACTCACCTCATTTTTTTTTTTACCTTTGTTATAAATCATATTGATAAGAAAAAAGGGTTCCCCTTTCCCTGATATCTCAGACCAATGAAATTACATTCCAATACACAACAGGGGACCTGGTTATTATGAAGGCAACACCATAGAAACAACAAGGGGGGGCTCAGTTCTCTGTTGACTCTTCTCTGAGCCTCCTGTTGCAGTTCCTGATGGAGAAAAGTGAGTGCACGTGCCTAGAAATTCCCTGATTACATCATCCATACAGCCCAGATCCCTTGGTTCAGGACTTCTATAAAGACCTCTGTGGAATCCACGAGATGAGACGAAAACTTACTCTATGCCTGAAGTCTAGAGATACATGCTTTGGAGTGTTAGGGGCTCCTTTCTGACTATGTAAAGATGGTTGAAGCTTCTCTCTTCGCTCCTCCTCCTCATTGTCCCATCAGCCCAGGAAATGCCTTAGTCTCTTTGGGCATTTGTTAACCCTTAGAGCCTCTCAGTTTGGGAAGTTTTTATAGTTTTCATAAGAGAAACTTTTTTTCTCTCTTCACCAGATGAAAGTCTTCTGGGTCCTCTGGGTTCCTGGTGATACCTAGTTCAGTGTCTATGAACTCAATCCTTCCTACAAGAAGCCTTTTTGCATAATCCTTTTAGGCCTCAGTTACAGTAAGCACCTGCCCTGAGTATGAAATACCTGCATCTTCTCTTTGTGGACATCTGTGGTTTTCTTAGGACTGGTAAACTCTGCAGCATTTGAAACTGAGCTGAGAAGAAAGATGTTAGGTAGACTGGGCCAGAAAAACAAGGAGCAAGAAGCTAGAAACTCACTGCAAGAAGTTCTGCTTTGTGGTTCCCAGCTTGTTTCAGATCATTCTCAACACCAGAGAATTCCTTAAACACATGTAAACCGATGATTTCCTTGCCCTTGATGTGGGTTTGTATTTCTCTTTAGGCTGTGATTGAGTGCCTGGGCTTAAAGGGAAAGGGGAAACCAAGCACACAGCACACATAGCATTAACACGAATGAGTTAAATTTGGATATCACTGAGTGACCCAGAAGACCAGAGTCTTTTGATCCCCTTGACCATGGGGCATCTCTGACCCTGTGCTGCTGGGTGCATCAGACAATCTTTTTTTAACCTCGTGATTAATAGTTTGTGTGCAAGAGATCAGTTTATACCCGGTAGATTTGCATAAACTTCACAAGAGAAAGTTCCTTCTGGTAAGAAAATCAATTAAATTTGCATATACCGAGTGAGGGAGGGAGGGAGGGAGGGAGGGAGAGAGAGAGAGAGAGAGAGAGAGAGAGAGAGAGAGAGAAAACAAAAAGCTACAACTACAGAGCACTGCTTAAAATAGCACGAGGCAGCAGTCCTGTTGGACCTTGCCCTGGCTGGGTGACTAAGTGTAGTGCTGTGCTCTGCGACTCTGTGTTCTCAGCCACCGGAAGTGCATCCCCAGCTGAAGAGCACGGTGAGGACCTAGGGCCTCTGAAGAACAGAGTAATGTAAATCCCTGATGCTTTCTGCCACCTATGTGTGATCTTATTTCCCTACTTGTGCTGAGGTGGCTCCAGACAAGCTCCCCCTGTTGGGTGGATACAGGTAACAGCCTCCATCCAGAAGTCTCTGAAGCTTGTGTGCTGTTCAGGCATGGGCTGTTCAGTCATCCACAAGCCTTGTGTGCTGATTGTGATGACAAGGCACTCCCTAGACTGTGAGGAAGACTGGGAAGCACAACTCACCATCAGGTTCACAGAGTGGAGCTGGAAAAGAAACCAGTACAGGCTTAACCAAGCAGCAAGATGCACAGACACACAGTTAAGCTTCTCCAAAGGGCTCTCCCCACAGTGCCCTCTCCTTCCCTGTGCCTTCCCCACAACTCCCTCTTCTTCCCCTTCTTTTGCCATCTTCCATACCTCCTCAGCCCCAAATTCCTTTTTTCTTTTTCTGTTTCTTTCCCCATATTCTAATCATCCAGAAAAGACAAAAGTCCTTTTTATGATCATAAGGTAATTTTCAGTAGCCCTTGTCCCTGTGATGAAGGGATGGAGTCTCGCTTGTAACTGCCTGTCAGTGTGTTCCTCTACCCTTATTCTCTTCTTTCTCCTCCTCTTAAAGATCTCAAGTTTCACCTCTGGACCTGCTGCCAGATGTAACAAAGTCAAATAAGAGGGATAAAGGTCTCAATCTCAAGGCATGAGACCCTGCGGGCACCAACTTCCCATCAGAGGAGTTCTAGGTTCAGAGGAGAGTTAGAGTCCCTCAAATATTCTCTCCTTTTGTGATATAATTGGTCAAGAAGGAGAAATTTTGGAGAAAACTTGGATTTTGTCACTAAAAAGTAGAGATACAGGTATTCTTTCTTGCTCTCGGAGGCCCTGAGGTCCTGGGAAGCGTGTGTCTCCTCTGCCAGCTCTCTTTATAGTGACACTGAAAAGGCGATTTGTGGAGACAAGAGAGTGTGGCCGGAGCAGTGAGGATAATGCCAACATTTCTTTAAGATCTAATCAAGATTTTTCATAATTATTGTTTTTAATTATGCTTAGTTCGAAATGCCTATTTGATTAAATGCTTATTTGAACAATTAGTCCCTCAGGTACTAGCAAGTGATCAGAGGGAGCTAGTAGAAAATAATATTTATATATTTGTTCGTAAAGAAATACTTTTGAATACTTGACTGCCAAGGAATCTACACTATAGTGGGAGACAACTCTGGTACCTAAGACTTAGAGAACAATGCAGAAGAGGAGGCAAAAAGAATGAAAGAGCAGAGAACCAGAAAGTTCGCTGTGGAATTATGACACCTCAACAACATGGCTGCCTTTAGAAGACCAGAACAATGACAACACAAGCACATGCTAACACACACAGGGGACATGTCATGGGTTCCCACTCCTAGACGAAGAAATTCAGGCAAATAATGACTGTCGAGTGCATGTGGAGGGATAACCCCTTCCAGGGACGAGGCCCTAAGTCCAGTACAAAGTGAGCAGCCCTGGAATTGTAAGCCACACTTGACTCAACAGGTTGTAGTTATATATTTATGTACATATATGGAACAACAATAATAAAAAAGGTTATTAATGTGTGAGGGTAGAGAGAGGACAATAAGAGGAAGTGATATAATTACACTTTAATGTAAAAGATTTTCATAAAAACAGAACATTATTTCAGAGAGTGCTCAAATGAAAAACAAAGCAGAGAAATAAGTTTGTATTAAAGTTTCAGACAATCTGGACACTCAGAATGCTACTGGCACAGAGCAGTGACCATGAGGAGAGTGGAAATGAGAGGGAGGGAGAGAGAAAGAAAGATGGGGAGGGATAGAGAGAGGAAGAGAGGGAAGAAGATGGAGAGAAGGCAAGAGAGGTTAAATACTATTTCTCAATTTTTGGCCAGAGTGACTGGAAAAATGGTGATGACATTTATTGAAACAGAAGAGTTATGGGAAAAATGGATAAATTTTGTGTAGTGGTAACAGATGTAGAAGTCAAAAAAGCCAGTTAGGATGTCTGGTAGACACCTGAGCACCCATTGGCTTCTATTTAAAGAATAAGTCAAATCTGGTGAGATAAGCTTAAGTTAGACAACTTGGCACCATCAGTGAAAAAGATGTATAAATTTGTAGAAGAAACTACAGATGAAGTCTAGGTCTCCATTTTAAAGCTGTCAATAAGTTGAGGACAGATTCAATTCAGCAGAGGAACTAAGAAGAGTAGATGTGAAGCAGGAAGGAAACAGGAACATGGCCTTCTGGAGACCAAGTGAAGTGTCCTGAAAGAGGGAGTGACTTAACTTCTTCCCCTGAGAGGCCAAGGAAATAGGAAATGGAAATGACCTCCGGGTGAGGCAATGTGGAAGTGGTGGATGATGCTAGAAAGAACAGTTTTCAAGGAGTGGTAGAGACAGAAGTTTGATTAAAGTGAGTTCATGAAAAGAGACCCAAAACAATTGAAAAAAGACCAGGTCAAGCACGAGAGAGGAGCTCATGAGATAAGACTGAGAGTGTGAAGAGATCTTTGATGAGACAGAGACGGTCTCTGTTTTGGTTTTGCTTTGGACAACATCTTAAACATCTGGGAAAATGTGTCGAGAGCTTCAGAAAGGCCAGTCTGACTAAAAATGAAGTTTTAAAAGAAAAAGGATCAGGGAAGTGAAATAGTCACGGAGAGCAGGGTGAAGGGAGAGAGAAATGGTGCATGAACGAGAAAAAAAATCCAAGCAAACAGGTACATTGATAGGAATAAGCTGGAACGCAGAAACATCTGAGTGGAGAGGACAAGCTTTAGTGCAGGAGGAGGGCCTTGCATTAGTAAGCAGAGACTCCTGTCTTTGAGACAAGATGTACTCACGGCCGAAGAAGACATGTAGGCAGCTGGTAGACATGGCAGTAGAAATACGGAGACTTTTCTTCTTGCTGTTTTTACTTTTTGAATAAAGTGTTAATCAAAGTTATAAAATGGGACCAAAAGTTTGAGGAGAAATGAGAAGATTTGAAATAATGGTTCTCATGAGTGGAAAAACAGGGTTGTAGATGTGTATATGAGGTTCCCAGCAGAGGTGAAGAACATGTGTGTCTTGGTTTCTACACTCCACGGTGGTAAGCAGTTGGGCAAGCCTTTGTGCAGAGTACCGCTTGTCTTCTCAGGCAGTCGGGACACCTGGGAATGTGTCGTCTGATCATGCAGTGGAGAAAGAGGGTGAAAGAGCACCCACCCTAAGCTGTGGGGATGTCAGGAGCAAACCTACTAACAATGGAAAAATAATCTTTCTATTTAGATAGACGACACCAGAGAAGCTTAGCTGGAATGAGGAGGGGGCGATGAGAAATACTAAAGTTTGACACTGAAAAAGAAATAGTGTTGATAGAAGAAAAGGAACCGAGAGACCAATTTGTTGCCTATATTGTGTGTGTGTGCGTACACTCCTATATGTGTATAAGAGAGAGAGAGAGACAAAGAGAGACAACACGACCATCCCCAGGCAGAAGCTTAGTCCTATAATTCTCGACACATTTTCAAGAAGTGAGATTCCCAGACCCCATTCTCAGTTGTCCAACTCACCACAGATCAACAGCAGGAGCCAAGGCAGCATGAGGGCCAAGATGGGGATGGTAACTTGAAGGTGCCTTATACCAAAAGAAGAAAAGAAAGCAACACCAAGCTATTCACATGGGAGTCAACAGCTGACAGCTTCTCCGAGGTTTGAGGAAGTCAGGATCGGAAGTTAACCTTCAGCACGAGTTTACAGAAATAGACATACAGAGGAGGTTAATCTTGATTTCCTCCTCCATTAAAGCTGAAAAAACAAAGTTGCTTCTTTGTATGGTTTGGTTCAGCTTCATGATTTGGAGATTTTGTGCACTGGGAGATGAGGTGTCTTTTCTTTAAGAACCCACATATCTTGGGAGTTTCCAGGAGAGGGCTCTGGTTTTGATGAGTCTCACTGAACTTCAGTCTGCAGAGTTTCACACAGCACATCTTTATCTTTGGTAAGGATGTCGACTTAAGTGTCTTCTCAAATACACCTTCTTTCTTCAAAGCTTTGCCTGTGGTCCCACACTTGACTGTCAGATTCAGGGACTGTTCACAGGTTATGGCTGGTGCTCACAGTTACATATGCTGATTTATATGGGGTTCAGCTATTCATATAGATACCTCTCCCATTTTAAAATTTTACTGTCCCAATAAATGAACATGAAACACTTTTCAAAAAGGTATAGAAAGTTATACGCCGGGAAATGTTTGCAATACAATACAGGCAGCGAGTACACACCCAGTGGTCTCTGTGCACTGGAAGAGTTCACCTTGATCTGATGGTCCTGGGTCACAATTCCTCTCTTCCCCAGTTAGGGGTGTGCAATTCCTCCATGGCTTTCTTTAGCATTTGTGTCACATTTCTTTGTTATCCAAAGCTTGCATGGGATTCACATTGTGGATTAGTGGGGAATAAATTATTTTATTTCCCAATATTTTTTGAATCTTTAATCCTCTACCATTAAGGATAGCTAGGCAATCCACAAAGGCTAGGTTATTAGAAAGATTGAGAAGTCCATCTAGGTCTGGGCATCAAGCACATCTAAAGAAAAGGGCTAGGGAAAGAAGTCAGCGGAGGTGGATACACTCAATTTTTCAGGGAAATCGCTGGGCACCAGACAGTTGTGCCAGCAACTGTGGTATGGCTTGGGAAACCCACATGAAGATATCTGCCACATTTAACCCTTAAGGACCAATACAAAAGCCCCAGCCCTTGAAATGCAGAAACCGGAAGTCTGGGAGTGGGGAGTTTTGAAACTGTTTCAGATCTCTTTTCTTGTGTGTTCTACTCCAGTGCCCTTAGATTTCTTCAGATTAAAATATATTTTCACACTGCCCCATAGAGTTAAAGACATTAAAAAAAATTTGCTCATTGGAGTACCATTAGTATGAACAATAATGGGTTCATTATAAGTACAGAGTGTAAAGATTTTTGACAAAAATAAACTGCTATAAATACAACCATAGTAATGGTTGTAGAATATTGAGTGTGTGTGTCACAGTTGACACCCAGCTGTCACAGTCTGTAGCCTGTGGAAGGAAAATTCTGGAAAGAAACTGTGTCTGTAAAGGCTAGTTGACTGACTACAACTTCAGTGGTGTGGAGAGGTTGGAATATTGCCAAGTCCAGGGTCAGATTAGCTTAAGCATCTTTGTCTCCATTAATAATTACTCTTCTCTATACATGAACTAACCTCTTTTGTCACTATTGTATAAATTCTTTGGGAATGCCTATTTTCCAAATGTCTAATAATTCTGTCAGGCCCTCCTGCTCTGCTATAACCCACCTACTTGATATACCTAGTGATGTATTTGAAAAGTGTGTTACTTTATGACTGATTTTCTTCTGTTACTACAAAAAGTTAATGAACTTGATACTTCTTTGGAAGCTGTATTTGGGAAAAAAAGAAAAACCTGAACCCGTGTTTCTGGGCCATGGTTGCTCATATTCACTCCAGAATAAATCAAGTCTTTATTCCTTTGCAGCAGGAACTCTTTCCTTCCTAGAGGGTTGTAGATAAGTCTGCGAGGCCAGGTTCAGTCAGAGAGCCCCTATTCCATTGTCTGTCAGTGTTTTAGGGACAGGGGCTTGTTTTGGCCCCTTCCTGATTAAAACTTACTAGTCAGGTGCAGCTACTCACACTCAATAAGTGACTTAACATGGCCAAATAAATACCAGAAAACCAGGAAAAAGGGTTTTTATTCAGTGTGGCCATATTAAGAGGGACAAGAGATACAGTGACCTCCCTACTTCATCCTTAGGGCTCAAAATGACATTGAGGTTTAAATAGAGGGCCAGTAATGTGCACATCTAAGCAGTCCTGGTCAACCCATTCTTGTCTAGGCTTGAGTTTCACCTGTTATGGTTAGTAATGTGTGGAATCTCTTTCCTGGAGGCAAGGGCCCCACTTGGCTGGTTTCAGGTTTCATTCAACCTTTCACTTTTCATAGTATTATAAATTCCATAGGAGGTTCAGTGTCTTGGAGTCCAGTGCTTCACTTCTCCCAGACCAGCTGTGGGGTGTGTGCATGTGTGTGCGTGCATGTGTGTGTGTGTGTGTGTGTGTGTGTGTGTATGTGTGTGTGCGTGCCTACCCCTTCTCAGGAACCCCAAGCCTGTGTAATTGTTAATCTGTATTCTTTTACTTTACATTAATTTCTGTGGCTTCCTAAATTGAAAATACATAATATTTGTTGTTTCTAAATTGTTTTCCTTAACTTGATATTTCTGAGATTCATTTATTGTCTTATGATCAAAATTGCTGTAAATATTCATGTATAAGTATTTGAATGGAATTGTTGAGTCTGGAGATAATTAACTTTTAAAGAAACTGCAAGTTATTTCCACAAGTGATTTACATTCCTACCAGAAGTTCATTCTCGGTTCAGTCATTCAGACGTGCTTCCTCCTCACTGAAGATGCCTGAGTAAGCTGGCTGAGTATTTGTCATGTGTTTGTAAGATTTTTACATGTTTTCCCTCTTTCATTGTCTCTTCCTATCTTAGAGATGCAGTTATGGTTCAACGTATGTAAACTGATAAATGTCACCCACCATATAAAGAGATGGAAAGACAAAACTTCATGATCATCTCATTAGATGCAGAAGAGGCATTTGACAAGACCCGATACCTCTTCAGAAGATCAACAATTAATAAATGGGACCTCATGAAGTTGAGCTTTTGTATGGCAAGGACATCATTGTTCAGACAAAGCTACAGGCCACAGGATGGGAAAAGATCTTTATCAATTAGACATCCAATAAAAGGTTAGTATCTGAAATGAATAAAGAACTAAAGGTACTGGGCATAAAGAAATCAAACAACCCATTTAAAAACAATGGGGCACAGAACTAAGTAAAGAATTCTCCAAGGATGAAACACAAATGGCTGAGAAATACTTAAATAAATGTTCACCACCCTTCGTCACCAGGGAAATGTAAATCAAAACTACTTTGGAATTTCGTCTTATACCAATCAGAATGACCGAGATCAATAAAACAAAAGACAGCCCATGCTGGTGAAGATATGGGGAAAAGAGAACACTTATCCACTGCTGGTAGGAGGGAAAACTTGTACAGTCACTATGGAGATCAGTGGGCGTTTCCTCAGGAAACTGGGAAGAGAGCTACCCCAAGATCCAGCTAAACTAGTCTTGGTCATTTACCCAAAGGCCTCTACAGCCTCTACAGCCTCTACGGCCTCTACAGCCTTCTCTAGAGATACTTGATCACCAAGTTCATTGCTGCTTTATTCAAAATCACCAGAAACTGTTAGCAGTATAGACATTTGTCAGCTGGTGACTAACAAAACTGTGGTACAAATACACAATGGAATATTATTTAGCTATTAAAAATAAATTATGAGATTAGCAGAAAATGAATCAAACTAGGAAAATCATCATGAATAATGTAACCCAAACCTCCAAAAGCAAATACTGTTATGTTTTCTCATATTTGTGAATATTAGCTTTTAAGCATTCAGCAGGCAAACCAGGGCACTCACGGTCAACACCTCAGAGTGGTACTCCTGTTATAGCCCTTGTCCTCATGCTATTGTATCTGCGAACTTTGTTGTATAAATTCAGCGACAATATCTGCATTGCTGACAACTGACTTATCTGGCCAGCCTCAGGTGGATCATCTCTTCGTTAATACGAAATGACTAAACTGGTTAAGTTCTTGGTTAGAAGTACTAAAACCAATACCAGATAACTGAGTGTTTAAAATGACTATGAATACATAGCAGTTTGTTACATAAAGTCAGGAATGCCACTGGATCCCAAGATCTGGCCTCATGTGTGTTTCTGTCTGAGCATGAGTTTTGCAGTTACTTCTGTGTCTCAATGGAAGGTTTCTTCTGATTATCTGGTCTCTGTCATATGTGAGAAATGTCCATTCCCAGGTTCACGTTAGGAATCCACTCACCCAGAGAAGTCAGTCTACTTTGTGTCACAGTTTCCGATCCCTGGAAAGTGCGAATTAACCCCTGAGACAGCAGGAGCTACCAACAGGGTCTACGAGCGCAGGGCTGCACTGCTCAAAGAGTTTATGATGATCTCTCCACAGGGATGAGATGGCCATGTGCATAAAAATGCAACTGACTTTTGGGCATAAATCCAAGAAAATAAATCAGCATATCAGGAAATACCCACACACTCATGTTTATTGCAGCGTAATTCACAAAAGCTAAGATACAGAATCAACCCTTGAACACAGGAAGGGGATCAAACTGTGAACAAAATGTCCCCTTCCAAAGGCATGCCCCAGTGACCTTCTTCCTCTACTAGGTCCCAACTCCTGAAGTTTCTATCACCTCCTAGTGGACTCATCAGGGCTTAATTCATTCATAAGGGCTGAGGGACCAGACCATGTGATGCAGTTAGGTCCCAAAGGCCCTGCCTCAGGATACTGGTCGCATCAGACACCAAACTTCAAATGTAAGAGTTTTGGGTAGATATCTAGAACTCAGTGAGAAACACCCAAGTGCTACAGGAAAGCACTCTGCGACCTCCTGAGAGATGGAGGAGCAGTGCAGTGTTGTTGTTATGATCACTTCACT